CATCTCTAATAGAGCCTCTTAGGTTAGGAAGGTTCTCTCTAAACTAGTTTAGGAGGCATTGAATGCCCAAGGAAACCCAGCTCAAATTGAGCATCTTTGGATAAAGGAGGTTCCCTCTCTAAACTAGCCTAGGAGGCATGAAATGCCCAAGAACACCCATTTCAAATTGAGCCTCTTAACCTAAGGAGATTTCCTCTCTAAACTAGCCTAGGAGGCATGAAATGCCCGAGAACACCCATCTCAAATTTAGCCTTTTAACCTAAGGAGCTCTCCTCTCTAAGCTCGATTACAATGGCGATTAAATTGATAGGCTTTCACACAACACAATCATTTCTGAATAATACCTCTACATTCATATCAAAACACAACCACACACAAATCATTGAATTCATACAAGCATTCACATAATTGTAGCTAGGGTTTACAAACACCCAAGTGAAAGAAGGGCCTACTCCATACTAGGAGAAGGGAAAACACAATAGAGGGAAAGGGAAACCATCAAGAAGATGCAAGCCTTGCTCCATGTGCTTAAGAAAGCCTCCTTTGTGGTTAGGAATTCCCAAAACCTTGCTTGGGGATGAAACCCTATCTTTTCCTCTTCTTTGGTTTGTCACTTTCTCACTCTAAAATTGAAGAAGGAGAAGTTTCTCACACTAGGTCTCTCTTCTCTTCTTCCTTTCAGCTGGCCTTATAAGTTGAGATAACGCAAGTTCACGGCCTAAGTTCATGGCCGTGAACATTGAAATGCGTCCGTGAATTCAGTGCTGAGACCAAAATGCACCGCTTCATTGGCACGGGTTCACGGTCAGTGGCCTCTGTTAACGGTCTTAGCAATCGTGAACAACCTGGGCGTTAGTAACCTGAAAACCCTCTCTGGACGTAGTCGCGGCCTTACTCTCGGTCGTACGGCCTTAGCTCTCAATTCCGTTAGAGAACACTAAGTAGCCTTCTCTCAAACTCACAAGCAAGCAAACAAAGCAAGAACAAGATAAAGAAGATGGGAGAACTCACTACTGTGTATTAATCTAAAAAATGATGGAATGAATTACAAGTGAGGGAGATGGCTCTTTATATAGGCCTCTCCTCATACAAGGCATCAATGACCCTCATAATGTCTCTCTACATCAATACACCCATTAAGTCCCCCCATTATGCACTCTATAAATGTCACCCATTATGCGACTCATAAGTGCACAATTAAGCTCTCATTTAGGTGGAGAATCCTAGGAGCATCTCTATGCTACTAGTCTTCCATACACGCCACATGTGCAGCTGCAAGGTTGTCACCTTGTTGGCGATCAGGTCCTTGTTCTCCCAAAGCGTGAGCTCTTTCTCCCAAGTTGCCTCGCTCTCCGGAAGGTTGTGCCACTTGACCAAGTATTCCACAAAGCTTGGATGTAAGCCACGACGAGGAATGACATGACGCGCCATGACTTCTTCGACTTCATGGTTGTGTGTCTTGGGGACAAGTGTTGGTGCTCGATGCGAATCTTTCCGCTGGTCGTCCTCCTTGTCATCGGGAAAGCCTTGAGTTGGCTCACATGAAAGACCATATAGATCTCTAAGTGCGACGGCACCTCCACCTTGTATGTCACCTTGCCAATCCTCTTCACGATGGCGAAGCAGTCCCTTGTGCACGTTCTTGAGATGCTTGAAGCGATGAGGGTAGAACTTCACCATCACCATGTCTCCCTCTTCGAACTCCAAGTGTCGCATCCTCTGCTGTCATACCTTTTGGCCGAAGGATGAACACTCCACACTCCCATGGTCGTTGAGGCGTGGGAAAGGGCTCTAGCAAGCTTGTGGGGCTTCTCTGCTCCATCTTGTCTTGTTGGCACAAAAGACAAGTCTTCACATACATCTCCATGTCGTCTCTCATACGCGGCCAGAAGTATCCTTCCTCGATGAGTGCTTGTGTTCTCTCGATGCCGGGATGGCCCGCCCACTTGGAATCATGCCACTCCTCCATGACCTCCTTCCTCAAGCTAGCCCATCTTGGCATGAACACACGCTCTCCCTTGGTCATGATGAGCCCTTCCTTCATCCAAAACTGTCGAGTCTTACCTTGATCGATGTACTCGGCCACAGTTTTGGCGAAGCTGTCATGGCCAAGGCCTTCGACGATCCGCTCCTTCAAAGGAAACATGGGTTGGCTGATGCTTGCGGCTGCACTCTTGCGGCTAAGAGCATCTGCAATGGAGTTCACTTTGCCTGGATTGTACTCCATAACAAAGTAGAACTCGGCCAGAAAATCTTGCCACCTTGCTTGCTTAGGGGTGAGCTTTTTTCTGCGTGAGAAAGTAGCTCGTCGCCATGTTGTCCATCTTCATTACGAACTTTGACCCCAACAAGTAGTGCCTCCATGTGCACAAGCAATGCACTATAGTCGTCATCTCATTCTTTTGCACCGTGTATCGCCTCTCCATCTTGTTGAGCTTCCGACTCTCGAAAGCAATGGGATGCCCATCTTGCCTCAAATACCACCAATCAGGAAGTCGGATGCATCAGTCTGCACTTCGTAGGCCAACATCGGGTTGGGGAGCACGAACACGAGCTCCATCATCACTGCTGCCTTCAAGGCTTCGAATTCTTCTTGGCACCTTTCCAACCACTCCCAGGCCTTGATCTTATTCAATGTTGGAGTAGCCCTTGATAAACCTTCGATAGTGATTTTCAAGGCTGAGGAACGACCACAACTTTGGCACCTTCGTTGGCGGCTTCCATTCTTGGATTGACTCCACCTTAGCCCCATCCATCTTCAACTTGCCTCCACCAATGATGTGCCCCAAGAATGGAACCTCCGTAGCGGCAAATGTGCACTTCTACCTCTTGACATACAACTCGTTGTCGCGAAGGACTTGGAAGATTTTGCGTAGGTGCTTAGCATGCTCATCGAGTGATTTGCTATACCCTTGGAGGAGCAAACGCCAGGGATCCAGAAGCATTTTAAAAGTTACGTTCATAGCCTTGATGTTATGTTCTTGACCGTAACTTACCTTCCATGCCTGTAACTCTGAGGAAGTAAGGCTAAAAGTTCCAGAAGCATTTTGAAAGTTACGGTCTCAATCGTAACTTCCATGCCTGTAACTTACCTTCCATGCTTGTAACTTACCTTTTCCTCAATATTACGGTCTCAATCGTAACTTCCCCTTTGGAGCCTCAACTCTTGGTTTAAGGAGTGCTTGAAGTGTCGTCTTTTTAAGGGAAGTTACGGGCTAGGCAAGAGAGTTACGACCGTAACTTGCGAATCTCCAGCCTTTAAAAGGCCATCTCGAGCAGATTGCAAAGGATTCAGATTTTGAGTTCTAAAGGGAAGAAAGAGAACCCTAGAGAGAAAGTGACAAGGAACAACCTTGGGAGCAGATTGGAGCGATCAAAGGACATTGGAGCTTGATCTTTGACACTCGGAGTGCCGATTTCTATCTTGGAGAAGATTTTCATTCCTTACATGATGATTTCTCTTCCAAGCTTGGTGCTTCGATATATTCAATTGAGGCATTAATCAGAATTGAACGAGTCTTGATCAAAATTTTGTGATTCTTGCTTTATCCTAGAACGATAGTCTCTGCATAGGTTAATAGAACAACATTAAATTGGAAGTGGTGAATCAACTGTTTAGTCGTGAAATCGATTCACTACTCTGTACTGGAATTAAAGCCAGTAGAGGAAGTTTGGGTTTTTATTGCCTTGGTTAGTTTATGCCGGTGGAGGTTAGTCGCTCTCCGGGTACTCGAACTGAGAGGGCCTGGATTACTTTAGTCGAGATTTCAGACTTGTCAAGAACTTTTCGTAGTATATCTATCAATCGCAACAAATTGGGAACATATAATCTGAACTAAAAACTTACTAGGGGAACTCATATCTGGATGACCTTTAGCTTCTTGTAAACCAAAATATTTCTTGCTTTCTGTTTACTTTGCTTATGAACAACCCACTACACTTTTGTTGCTACATAATAGAAACTCACAGAGTAGGTACTACATCTAGGACCTGTATTGACATTTATTACCTTCCATGCCTGTAACTCTGAGGATGTAAGGCTAAAAGTTCCAGGAGCATTAGAAAGTTATGGTCTCAATCGTAACTTCCATGCCTCTAACTTACCTTCCATGCCTATAACTTACATTTTCCTCAATATTACTGTCTCAATCGTAACTTCCCCTTTGGAGCCTCAACTCTTGGTTTACGGAGTGCTTGAAGTGTCGTCTTTTTAAGGGAAGTTACGGGCTAGGCAAGAGAGTTACGACCGTAACTCGCGAATCTCCAGCCTTTAAAAGGCCATCTCGAGCAGATTGCAAAGGATTCATATTTTTGAGCTCTAAAGGGAGGAAAGAGAACCCTAGAGAGAAAGTGACAAGAAACACCCTTGGGAGTAGATTGGAGCGATCAAAGGACATTGGAGCTTGGTCTTTGACACTCGGAGTGCCGATTTCTATCTTGGAGAAGATTTTCATTCCTTACATGATGATTTCTCTTCCAAGCTTGGTGCTTCGATATATTCAATTGAGGCATTAATCAGAATTGAACGAGTCTTGATCAAAATTTTGTGATTCTTGCTTTATCCTAGAACGATAGTCTCTGCATAGGTTAATAGAACAACATTAAATTGGAAGTGGTGAATCAACTGTTTAGTCGTGAAATCGATTCACTACTCTGTACTGGAATTAAAGCCAGTAGAGGAAGTTTGGGTTTTTATTGCCTTGGTTAGTTTATGCCGGTGGAGGTTAGTCGCTCTCCGGGTACTCGAACTGAGAGGGCCTGGATTACTTTAGTCGAGATTTCAGACTTGTCAAGAACTTTTCGTAGTATATCTATCAATCGCAGCAAATTGGGAACATATAATCTGAACTAAAAACTTACTAGGGGAACTCATATCTGGATGACCTTTAGCTTCTTGTAAACCAAAATATTTCTTGCTTTCTGTTTACTTTGCTTATGAACAACCCACTACACTTTTGTTGCTACATAATAGAAACTCACAGAGTAGGTACTACATCTAGGACCTGTATTGACATTTATTACCTTCCATGCCTGTAACTCTGAGGATGTAAGGCTAAAAGTTCCAGGAGCATTAGAAAGTTATGGTCTCAATCGTAACTTCCATGCCTCTAACTTACCTTCCATGCCTATAACTTACATTTTCCTCAATATTACTGTCTCAATCGTAACTTCCCCTTTGGAGCCTCAACTCTTGGTTTACGGAGTGCTTGAAGTGTCGTCTTTTTAAGGGAAGTTACGGGCTAGGCAAGAGAGTTACGACCGTAACTCGCGAATCTCCAGCCTTTAAAAGGCCATCTCGAGCAGATTGCAAAGGATTCATATTTTTGAGCTCTAAAGGGAGGAAAGAGAACCCTAGAGAGAAAGTGACAAGAAACACCCTTGGGAGTAGATTGGAGCGATCAAAGGACATTGGAGCTTGGTCTTTGACACTCGGAGTGCCGATTTCTATCTTGGAGAAGATTTTCATTCCTTACATGATGATTTATTTTCCAAGCTTGGTGATTCGATATATTCAATTGAGGCATTAATCAGAATTGAATGAGTCTTGATCAAAATTTTGTGATTCTTGCTCTATCCTAGAACGATAGTCTCTACATGGGTTAATAGAACAACCTTAAATTGGAAGTGGTGAATCAATTGTTTAGTCGAGAAATCGATTCACTACTCTGTACTGGAATTAAAGCCAGTAGAGGAAGTTTGTTTTTTTATTGCCTTGATTAGTTTATGCCGGTGGAGGTTAGTCGCTCGCCGGGTACTCGAACTGAGAGGGCCTGGATTACTTTTGTCGAGATTTCATACTTGTCAAGGACTTTTCGTAGTATATCTATCAATCGGAGCAAATTGGGAACATATATTCTGAACTAACAACATACTAGGGGAACTCATATCTGGATGACCTTTAGCTTCTTGTAAACCAGAATATTTCTTGCTTTTTGTTTACTTTGCTTATGAACAACCCACTACACTTTTGTTGCTACATAATAGAAACTCACGGAGTAGGTAGTACATCTAGGACTTGTATTGACATTTATTACTTGTATCACTATACTGCATTTCTGGACTACGATTGCACTTGGTCGTAGTTTCGTGTTGTGTTTTAGCGAGTCACGTTCCATTTCCGGGGACCTCTAGGTTATTGTAGAAACGTGAATACCTGTTACTTTAGCGTTTTCTTTTCAGTATTTTCTTTTCTCCGCCTGTTTGCCTTCATGGGTTGTGTTTGCAGTCTTGGTGTAGGTAGTGCATGACCCATAGCCACTTGGGAGAATTGCTACATCTGGACCCAAAAATCGAACGGACTTATCGCCACCTTAGAGCACTCAAATCGAGAATGGCTACGGGGGAGGACTTGGATAAGGCCGTTGTCGTTGACGGATCTGAGAGCGAGGAGCGAGGAAGAAGCTGAGATGGGGGATCCTATGAATAAGTTGGGAGACCCAAATGCGGCTCAAGACTAGCTGTCACGACCCGAAATGGGCGAAAGCAGTTGGCATGCGTATGTAGAGAGGCTGGTCTTGAGGAATGTGTGCACCTCAAGACACCACACGGACTTTGGAAGTCTATGTCCGTGACACAGCTCGCTGAGCATACTATGGGGTACTACTGGACCTCCAGGGCCAAGGTGATGAGGTCAAGTATCCAACATCCTCATGTTGTTGCCAAAAACTTTGAGGTGAAGATGTGTGTCGTCATAATGCTGAAGGGTTCTGTGGCCTTTCACGAGAAGATAGGAGAGAGCCCACGCGAGCACTTGCGTCGGTTCCATGAGCTGATTGATGCGATCAAGGTCAATGGGGTCCCTCAAGACCCCATTCGGCTTTGTTACTTTCCATTCACTCTGGACGAACAGACCAAGATGTGGCTGAACCACTGACCTCCGGGGTAGATCACCACCTGGAACGCCTTGGCCAACAAGTTCTTGACCCGCTATCATCCCCCATCTAATACTACGAATCTGCAGAAGGAGATCACCCACTTTGCGTAGGAAGAGGATGAGACCATCCGGGATACTTGGGGAGAGATATCAAGGCCTCTACCTGAAGTGTCCCAACCATGGTTTCAATGTTGCTTTCAAGGTGGGTACCTTCTATCGGGCTCTCTTCCCTGAAGACAAGCAGCTGATTGACTCGGTCTGTGGCAGGAACATGCTTACCTAGACTCCCGCAGTTGACCCAGCTCTTTGATGAAATGGCAGAGCATGTCTATGATTGGGGGTCTGCTAAGAGATCCTGGCGAGCACCGGGCAGTGGTATGCATGTCGTGGTTACCTAATCATCCAATTTGGTTAGTGTGGTCACTAAGCTGGTGACGACACTTTATAGAAATGGGATGCTTGCTGGTGTAGGACAACAACGGGCGAGTGTCAGGAAATGAGGGAATCTACTACACCTCAAGGGTAGCTGGACTTTATCGACAATGCTAGGCGTTTCGGCCTTTATAGAAACACTTATAACAAGGGGTGGCGCTAGCATCCGAACTTCTCTTGGAGTGGTAATAGTAATCCTAAGCCCCCAGTTTCCCAAGAACCACCAGGCTTTCAAAGACCGCCATATCAGGTTCGCCAGGTCTAGTTCCAGTAGTAGCATCCTCTCTATTCGCGGAGACAAGGGCAACTCAATCGCAGCCGAGGTTGTTTCAGCAGCCGGGAGCAACCCCTGCAGCCCCAGTACAAAGTGCTAATAAATTTGGCAATATGGACTAGTTCATGGAGAAGGCATTCGGATAGTTCCTAGATCTTGAAGCTGGCCAGAGGAATACGCAGGCTATTCTGCAGGACATCCAGCTCCAGCTTGGAAGTCTCCACAAAATCGTGGCGCAGCGGGCTCCGGGTACCTTACCAGGTCATACCATTCCTAATCCCAGAGACCCCATGGACCCGAATGCCCACTACAGTGCCATTACCACAAGGAGAGGAAAGGTGACAACATATATTTTTGTCAAGGCTAGGTAGGAGGAAGAAAGACCTACTTCAGCACTTCCAACAAATGAGTAAGAAATGGAGAAGGAGGTCGAGGTGCCTGCTCCTAAGCCACAGCCAGTGGTGAAGGAGTATGTCCCACAACTTCCCTTCCCCACTCAAATGCACAAAGACCGGTTGGAGACTGAGTTTGCCAAATTTATGCCAATGCTGAAGCAGGTGAATATCAGCATGCTTTTCGTGGAGGCATTTTCGAAGATTCCCAAGTACGCAAAGTTCATGAAGGATCTCCTCACCAACAAGAGGAAGCTTGGGGAGCTCTCGACAGTGATGTTGAATGAGGAGTGTTCTGCCATCCTGCAAAACAAGCTACCAGAGAAGCGCAAAGACCCAGTGATTTTTACTATCCCTTGCATTATAGGTAGCTTGCATGTAGGAAAGTCCTTAGCGAATTTAGGCGCTAGCACAAATGTCATGCTATATAAACTATTTAAGATGCTAGGCCTAGGTGAACCGAGTAATACTAGGATGAGCATGCAGTTAGCTGATCGATCTATTGCGCATCCTATGGGAATTGCAGAGGATTTGATGGTTATTGCAGGGCCATTTGCATAACCTATAGATTTTGTGATTCATAATATAAATGAGGATGTGGAGTTGCCTTTGATTGTGGTTCGACCTTTTCTTACCACCGCCAAGGAACTCATTGATGTGAATGACGACAAGTTGATTTTGCGGGCTTGGGGTGAACAAATAACCTTTACTATTTCTCATAATATGAAACACCCCCAGCTCCATGATGATTTAGACTATTGTGATGTGGTTGCTGATTATGAGACCGCACTCGCCATCACAAGTGTGGGTACTAATTATTTCCTCGAGCGTAGTCTTTTGCTAGGGGACCAGGCATCACAGGAGCTGCAGTTGGTGGAGCGGCTCGGGGAGTTGGAAGGCACAACGATCGTGGGGCGAGAGAAGCCATTCAAGCCAATCCACGTCTCGCCCTGGATCGCTACATCATTGGAGGAGCTGCTAGAGCATGAGCTTAAGCCTCTCCCCTCTCATATGGAGTATGCATTTCTCTGGGAGGGTGATCATTATCAACTTGGATTTGATCCCCGAGAAAAAGAGCAGTGTGGTGGCTCTATTGAAGAATTACGCCAGGGCCATGGCATGGAAGAACACGGATATCAGAGGCATTAGCCCATCCTTTTGTTCCCACAATATTCTGATGGAGGATGAGGTTAAGCAAGTTCGGAGTCGTAGCGGAGGTTGACTCCTAACTTGGAGGTAGTGGTCCTGGAAGAGATTGTGAAGCTGATGGATGTCGCGATCATCTTTGCTATATCTAATACCAAGTTGACCATATGCTGGAGAGGTTGGTGGGACATGAGTTTTACTGCTTCCTGGATGGAATGTCTGGGTATTTCCAGATCAGGATCGCACCGAAGGATCCGTCGAAGATTACTTTCACCATTCAGTCTCCGCAACGCACCGACAACCTTCCAACTGTGCATTTTGGCTATCTTCGACCGACTTGTTTGAGAGATTATGGAAATCTTCATGGATGACTTCTCAGTTATGGAGACTCCTTGTGACATAGTCTCCATAACCTAGAACTTGTCTTGAAGAGGTGCGAGGAGACGGAGTTGGCACTTAGTTGGGAGAAGTGCCACTTCATGGTTCACGAAGGAATTGTACTCGGGAACAAGATCTCCAAGCAGGGGATTGAGGTAGTTCGCGCAAACATAGAGACTATCAGCAAGCTACCTCCTCCTATTTCTGTGAAGGGGACCCATAGCTTTCTGGGTCATGTATGCTTATACCGGCGCTTCATTAAGGATTTCTCGATGATAGCCTTGTCCTTGACCAAGCTGCTAGAGAAAGATGGACCATTCCACTTCACTCCATAGTGCACAACTACATTCGAGACCTTGAGGGAGAAGCTTACCCATGCACCAATCATAGTGAGACTGGATTAGTCTCTTCTATTTCAGATGATGTGCGATGCGAGTGACTACGTGGTCGAAGAATGTTGGTGCGGATCATCATTCACGGTTGGAAGCCTCTCCGGTGGACAACATCGTGGAAGAGATCAACGACTCCTTCCCAGATGAGAGACTACTGGCTCTATGCTTGGTGGAGAGTGTCACCCCTTTGTACTCAAATCTTTCCAATTATCTGGTGGGAAAGCAATTACCTAAGGGGATGGCCACTCACGCTAAGCGCAAATTCTTTACCGACCTGAATTACTATTTTTGCGAAGATGCATACCTCTTTAGGATCAGATCTGATGGTGTAATACGATGATGCAGGATGGAGCACAAGATGGGAGACATCCTGTCTTTCTTTCATGAATGGACCGTGCGTTTACCACGATGTGAAAGGTGCTACAGTCGAGCTTCTTCTGGCAACGTGCTTCAAGGATATTGACACTTTGGCACGCAAGTGCGATCGCTATCAGTAGTCAGGTAATATCTATGCACGTGATGAGATTCTCCTGAAGTCGTTTGTGACTTGTGAAATTTTATATGTGTGGGGTATCAACTTCATGAGTCCTTTTCCTCATTCATTCGCTAATCTCTATATCTTGGTTGTTGTGGACTATATCTCGAGGTGGGCAGAAGATTAAGCCATGCCCAACAATGATGCAAGACGTGTCTACTCATTTCTTAAGCAACTCCTTTCCCGGTTCGGTACACCTCAAGCCATCATTAGTGATAGAGGAAGTCATTTTCAAGGGCAATTCACTAAGCTCCTCTCTTGCTATAATGTCAAGCATAAGGTTTCAGTGGCTTACCATCCCCAAACAAATGTTCAAGCCGAGCTGATGAACCGAGAACTGAAACGGATCATTGAAAAGATGGTGGATCAATCCTGCAAGGATTGGTCCACCAAGCTCGATGATGCTCAATGGGTGTATAGGACAGCCTACAAGACTCTGATTGGTACTTCTCTATATCATTTTGTCTATGGAAAGGCTTTTCATTTACCCATCGAGCTAGAGCACAAGGCCTTCTAAGCCGTTAAGCTCCTAAACCTTGATATGAGTCTTGCTGGTACTGAGCGAAAAATGCAGCTGGTGGAGTTGGAAGAATGGAGTTATCATGCCTATGAGAACACTAGACTATATAAGGAGTGAACCAAGCGTCTCCACGATGCCCGTCTCAAAAGCTCGAAGGAGTTTCATGTGGGCAATCGAGTTCTTTATTACAACTCCCCCATGCGACTCTTTCTGGGGAAGCTGTGCACCCGATGGTCTGGACCATTCACGGTCACTCAGATGTTTCCCTATGGCACCATCGAGATCTCCAATCTGCAGAATGACCCCTTCAAGGTGAACGGGGATCACCTCAAGTTGTACTTGGGAGGCGATGTCAAACGAGCGGATTTGGTGGTTGATCTTGGAGATCCTTAGTTCCTCCATATGTGTCCTGCTACACGACGGTAAAGAAGCGCTTGTGGGAGGCAACCCCACCCTGGTTTGCACTTTCTTTCCCTTTTCTTTTTGTTTTTTTGATTATGTGTGTGTTGTGTGTCGAACGTGAAGTTTTGTGATCAATTGTCGTGCCTTGGGAGGTCACTTTCTGTGATTTTCAATTTCGGGGTTTGGGGGTGCTTTTGGATGTCTCGTGTTGTTTTTGGCATGTTTGGGTGAACGAAGCAAGATCGGTCTCAGAAGTTACGTCCTGGGTGAGAAGTTACGGTCACGACCGTAACTCTCCCCCCTACCCGTAACTTTAAAAATGCCTCTGGATCGTCTGGGAACTCCCCCCCCCCATAAGTTATGGGACGGGACTCAAAGTTACGCGAGCGACTGTAACTTTCAGCCTCACCCGTAACTCTCCCTTCTCCCTTAGAATCGGCGGGTTACGGCCCTTGTTACGATCGTAACTCAGCCGATGTTCCCGTAACTTTTCCAGGTATGACCGTAACTTTGGTTTTTCTATAGAAGGGATGCTACGGGTCGTAACATTTTTTCAGAAAATGACCAACCCCTCGCCGTAAATCCTCGCAACCGTCGCTGCATGCCGCCGTGTTTTCACCCATTTTTGACAACTTTCAGACCTCTGTTGAGGAGCCGTTAGCGGTGCTGACCTCATCTTGGCGAGGCGCCCCACGCATCACCCTCCATTCCCTCATCAACTGGACTTCATCCTCGTCGGATGTCACCTCTGGTGACGTCTTTTGGGTCCAACCTTCTGTCAACGTTCTCCCACCCTCTCCCTCACTCTCCTCTCTTCCTTGTGTATCTAGGGAAATGGTCAACCTAGACCACGCCTTCCTGCAGGGATTCCACTACATTGAGGCTTATGATGGGTCGTTGGCCAAGATGCTAGAGGGGTATATTTGAGGCGACTACTGCCTCAATTTGGCCTACTTCGAGCAGTTCCACTACCATGACACCATTGAGGCAGCAATCTCCCACCAGCAGTGGCGACTCTTGCTTGGGCTCCAGGATGAATCTTAGAGGAGCCCACTGTAGAGTTCTACAACACCTTCTGCCTCACCACCAAGCGGTAGGCTTATGATGCTAGTGCGGTTACCTTTACCAACGGATTTGCATGCAGAAGCACGTCACAGTTCCCTATGGACACAGTCAAACCCGAGCCAGTAAATTTCAGACCCCGTGGCGGTTCCTATAGGCGTTGTTTGCTCACTAAGCCATCCCTAGTTTGGAGGCCTCCGACCAGGTGACTACGAGGCACATGTACGCTCTCACACCATGACCGATGCTCTCGATGAAATCCACCTGGACTCGTTCGTCACGATCTCTCTCTTGGGTGAAGGGTCACTCGAAGGTGCTCACACTACATGGGGGGACCCGACATCACTCACCATGCCCGATACTTTGGAGTGCCGCTAGACGGATTTACCTGGGTAGGGTGCACTAGAGACTTCCCCGACGAGACCCTGTACTCCGTGGGGCTGATTCGGGTCTCGAGGATGGATCTGTTGGCTTAAGGGCCTGCGCCCTGGCAAGTTTGCCAAAGCGGCGGAAGCCAAGGCTCCTACCGCCGGTAGAGTACCACCATTTCAGCATGATGCCATCCCGCTATAGTTCTTCCCGGGGCCATCTGGCCCTGGTTCTTCATCAGTTGCGCCGTCCGATGACCTTTGGCCGTCCAAGGAGGCTCGCTTCGATCTAATGGAGGCGCACATTGACCATGAGTGTGAAGCCCGCCGTTACTCTCATTTCTTGCTAGAGCGCCTATGCTCCACGGTTGACGTTGACACCGGCCAGACCTTTTAGCATCCTTCTCCTGCTCAGGATACTGACGAGGAGGATCGAGACTGCCCTTTGACCTCGGGCTCCATGTGTTTTGCTTTGTGTCTTTGTCTTTTGTGTGTCAAACTGCATGTTTTTGTGTTTTGTTTTTTTTCTCTCTTTTCTTCTGTTTGAAGCCATGTGGCTGACAATTGTTATCCTAACTCTTACCTAGTGTGAGTGGTTGTGTTTGTCTTACCATGATTCTTCGAAACTGGTCATTCTTGCAGTTTTCTCATGATGATGAGGGCCATATCCAATCCCATTACAGTCTGTTCTCCCCGATAACATCGTTCCCTTTATCCTTCCCTCTTCTACATTGAGGGCAATGTCGATCATAAGTGTGGGGGTGTTTGTCTTTGACTGCATAGAAGTGTTTGTGTGCTTGGAGCCTAGTCCATTGTCCAAATTACGATTTGAGGGCTCCAAGTGCGCGTTCCTTGTAATTTCCTGCTCATTATGCTTTGAATTGACAGTCTTTATAGAAATCGTCTGGTTGTGGCGAGCATCGACTATATCAATTGTCCTTATCCACGGGTTCGAGATTGTTTGATTGGTTTCATATACCAATTGGCCCTTCTCACGAGTTCGGATTTGTTTGATTGATTTTCGCGACTATCCTTTATTTTCGTGTTATTGAAGAAAGAAGAAAACCCCTCAATAGTTCAACGTTGTACTATTCTGATTTTTGGTCTAAGTGTTGGTGGATTCTCGAATTAGGATCATATCAAGTGGTTTCAAGAGCCTGGTTCAAACGCAGTGGAGAAGACAAAGATTCTTGGAGTTCTTGGTAATTCGTGAAGCATTCTTGGAATTATTGAACGTCAAGAAAGCAATTCTTGAACATTCTTGAGAGTTTCTTGTGCGACAAGGAAGGTATCTTGAAGACAAAGCTTTCGTGGGGTTCTTCTTTAGCAACAAACCATGGAGGAACAAGCACAAGATGTGGCGGCACAACTTCAACAACTCGCTGCCCAACTAGCTATGGCACTTCAAGAACAATGGGAGATATGGGCACAAGTTGAGGCATTACAAAGACGTCATCAAGAGCAGCCTCAACCACGAGATCATGGGCCACCCCAAGGTGAGTTTGTAAACCCTAACCCTAGGGAACGACGAGAAGAAAGGAGAGTTGTTCAAGCTGTTCAACGTCCAATATATGAGAATGTTCGTCGACATAGGCCATTGGGAGGGTATCATGTTACACCACGCTCTTCCCAAAAGTCAAAATGACTATTATATCATTCGGTCAAGTTCCACCGTATTATCGATGAGGATTAAAAATGTGAACTATCGATTCAAGCGGTGTCGAATTTCAACATAAAATGAGAAAGTTACGGACATTAATTGAGTTTCGGATTAAACTCACCCGTAAGTGTGAATTTCCACAAATAACCTTAGACAAACTAAAACCCTAGACCGCCTACCCCACTCGGCCTCACCACTAAACTAATTAAAACCTAAGCTAACCTAAAACCCCATACCTAACTCGGCCTCACCACTACCAATTAAACCCTCCCCCGATCAATTTCTATTCCCCAACCTTTCCAAGAAGCCGCTCAACCCACCATCCCTTGCCCTCCCCTCGTCATCATCCCAGTAGCAAGAATAAGGGTGATGCATCCCTAGCTAAATGTCGCCGAAAGAGGTATCAGTCACGAGATAAAGAGGAATGGCAAGAAGAACAATTATTTGGGACCAGGGAGATTAATGGGACTCCTTGACACGAGAGCTTGGAGGATGGAGCCAGCGTTTGTAATAAGGAGCGAGAGAGGGTAATCTGATCGCGAATGTGGAATGGTATGTAGCATGTAAATGATGGATGTTGAGGAAGATTGGCACTGGAAGGTTGTCTCTGAATCATGGAAAGCACGAATGGTTCATATATATATATATATATATATATATATATATGACGGGAAGCAATTAAAAAGGGTATAGAGAGCTCTTAAAATGGGTGACTAAGTGGAGAAGGCCAACACCGAGGAACCAATTGATGAGGTAAGGGCTGAAACCCCTTTAGGCTTCATCGGTTTTGGTGGTGATTATGATACGTTATCGGTTGTCCGAGCTAAGTAATGGATGTGATTATTTGGCATGAGGAAAGGAGTTCGATTCAAGTCATGAAGGGAGTGGATTCTAGCATCCAGTGCAACACATATGGTCACGTTTAGTATATATAATTCGGACAAGTGAAATGCATCAGATTACTATGTACACCTACAAGTTGGAATTTCATGGGAGGGATGGAGCATACGTGGACATCTCAATAAAGGAGAGGCAATGGTAAAAGCAATCAACATTGGAGGGTGGTTGGCTCAAGCCGAGTCGGCTGGAACGATGAGGTGAGTGTAAAGGGGGTAAATTCTACGCCTTACGTGTTCTTCAACTATTTTCCTTGAGTATTTTCGAGTATTGATATACGTGATGTATGTGCAGTATTTGATTCATGTTTGAGACTGCATGATTATGTTTGATGATATCTGTTTTGGTTGATCTATGATTTGAAGTGAATTGTAGATGAGTTTATTTCTTACTTGAAGCTTTACATTTATGAGTTAGTGTTAAAGTTTAAGAACAAGTACTTTTTAAGAAGTAACTCACCTTCAAGAAGGTGAAGTAGTTTTAAGTGTTTTTAGTCACTAGCGCTAGTCCGTTGCCATTTGAGACAATTTGAGATAGAGCAGCAGTTATGCTCTTGAGACTTTTAAGATGAGCAACAGTTATGCTCTTGAGAATCGTGGTGAAGAGCCACCACGATAAGTTTAAGATGTTAGAGGGATGAATCATTACGACTTCCCTAACTAAGTTTAAGTTTAAGTTTAAGGAAAGCCTGGATGGCTTCTCATACGTATGAGTTGGGCAACCGGACTAGCTAGTGAGGGATCCCCGAGTCAGTCAAAAGATTTAAGTCAAGATTTGAGCTTTAAGAAGGGAGAGTAACTTTAACTCCCGAAGAATTTTAAGAGTTAGGATTGTTAAGAATGGAAGTACAAAACGACTTCCACTATTAGTAGTTAAGTGTTTAGAGAAGAATACTAAAGTACTATAGATTTTAACGTAAGGGCGTAGACTGACCCCATTTCACTCACTAGGACTTAGTAAAGGAATGAGCGGGAACTAGATCGATAGTTGCAGTTAGAGGAGCCATTAGTGAGCAGCAGGATCGAGAAAGCTGTTCGAGGCAAGCCAGCTAGATGAGGATAGTACAAGCGTCACTGAAGGTGCCAGAGATCAAATCCGAGCAGACAACAAAGTAGAGTTTTAGTTATTGCTTTACAATTATGAATAAAGACTGGAGATTCATATTAAGATTTTATGATTGACATTCGCCCAAGTGTTAGGGATTTGTTTTAAGTAATTACAGTTTATTCTCAGTATTTGTTAAAGTTATTTATGAAAAAAAATATTTGCTATTTTTCCAAGTATTTTTTTTTTGTTCAGATTTGTTTCGCGATTTATCAAGGGTATTTTGGTAAAACTAGTACCTAGTTGGGTTAGGGTGTTACATTTTGGTATCAGAGCCGGTTTTCTTCTTTTCTTGGTCTCCAAGGAATACTGGAATATCGGTCTTAGTTTTTAAAGGCTTTTGTTTTAAAGGAAAGGTAAGCGAGTCATGG